AACTTGAACTTGAAGTTTCAAGCACAATACAAAAGAGGAGAGAGAGAGAGAGAGAGAGAGAGAGAATCTTTCTTTAAATTTCGTTTAAAGATCTATTTTTTGTTGTTGTTGCTCTCGACTCCCTCTTGCTCGTTTCAAATTGCAGTGCAACTGAACGGATTGAATTGAGGCGTCAAACAACTAGGATGATGTTTAACGATTTCAACCATTGTTTTCTTTCTCTGGTATACGTGTGTGTGTGTGCGTGTTACATCTTCAATGCATTGAGCGTTGTAAATTCCAAGTGAAAAAAAAATAACATAAAAACTTTCTGTTGATCGAATAAAAGTTCATCAATTGAACATGGATTATTGTGCTAAGCTGTCGTTTGAATGAGCAAAAGAGGGCGCAAAAAAATGTGACTCGTAAAATGCAGTGCGAAGAGCAAATGTTTCAAAAGTGGTGGCCATTTTTAACGAGAATCTGTGCAAAATCACATTACACTTTTGTTTTCTAATCACGCCCCATAATTTGTTTGCCTTTTTTTCTCTTTCTGTTGATACTCTTAACGCCTTTGCCACTGCCACTACCACTGCCACTGCTACCGCTGTTAGTGTTGCTGCATGTTCCACAACATGGCAGGATGAGAGCTGTGTGTTCAGTGTTCAGCTTGATTTTCCTTAAAATACCATGCATATTCGATGCAATAAATATATTTGGCAGCTATCACAATGTATCTAGTCAAATGTAGTTATTTATTGTTGACGGTTAAAGTAAAATCTCTCATGTGTATTTGCCATGTATGGATGAATCGATTTTACATAAATGATGGCTCTACATTATATGAATCCCTATCGCTCTGGGAGATCACTCAGTTCGGGAGGTAGTCGTCGTCGTCGTCGTTTGTACGCGTTTCAAAATTGCATTCAGGTGGCCTTGCATTCTCGATGTAACTGCTCAAACTGACTGTGTATGTGTGCATGTGTGTGTGTTAGGGTGAGAGAGAGAGAGAGAGAGAGAGAGAGAGTTTGCTAAACGGTGTTTTAGTCGATTATCCCCAAACCCGAAGCACTGCCATGCCACAGTGAAGTGAACTGAATCAGGATCGAACACGAACCATGCGATATGTGACGTATGGAAACGGAAAAAAGACGAACTGGAAGAAAAAAACACAGTGAGAAAAACCGATCGGAGATTATAACCGATTCACATTTATATGAACTGAACCTCTCTATTGCTTTTAAATTTTTAGCTTTGAACTTTACAGTTCGACATTAGACACTTTGTGTGGAGAGGCATCGAACACACAGACACACACTATGTTGGGTCACTATTCGTACTTAACCGAAATGCACACATACATACAATCAGGTGCAAACGAACGGGAAAAAAAACGTGAGTGATTTAACGCTTTTATTTATCGATTCTACATAAAATCCTCTTCAATTAGTTTATTGTAAAGCGCACCGAATCCTCTTTGATAACATTTTTAGAGCACATGCACCCATATCATCGTCATCATGGTGTGTGTGTGTGTGTGTATATGCTATGTGTTATCCAGTGGGTATTCTCATTCATACCACGGTATTCCCACTCGAGCCGCTGCTGTTGTGGCCGTCACAACGTTTGCACCGTCAAACAAACACAAATCGGAGCTCAAACAAATCATCAGAATGGAAGGCTGAACAGAGAGCACACATGGTTTTAGTGTTTGTGTGTGAAACCTTATCATTTTAGCATTTCACTTCGTTTTCACATCAATTTCACCGCATATTAGCGTTTTTGTGCTTTTTCCCTTCTTTTTTGAACGAAAAACTTATTCCATAACAACACAAAACATGTCTCTGTCATACGCATTTCGGCCATCCTTTTTGTTCCATTCTTTGCAAGGAACGAGAAATGAGTAGAAAACCAAATTCTTTTTAACCGACGAAAAATGTGATTCTTTTATTTTTATATTTATTGAAACTGTCGTCCACAGTCAGTCACACTCCAAATTCATTTCGAACAGGCACTTGATGAAAATGATTCGATGCTACGAAGGTGATCCCAATATATCCTACCGAACAAATTGTGTATTAGATTTCCCATTGACTTTTATGTGGGGACAAGTGGCATATTTAATTGTATATAAATAAAGTGTAGTGGCTCTTGAGCTGATACTTTCTCTTCACCCTCGTTGACAAAGTCATTTCGAGCCAATAAAGATGATGACTTTTAGCTCAGCTCTCGTTATTAGCAGATTATGAATATGAGGCGTGTTATTTGAGCATTTAATCGAAATCATGATTGAATGGCTAAGCACGGAAAATGAGAATGAGCGAAAGAGAGAGAAAGAGCCAGCGAATAGCGAAAAGAACAAAAGCATAAATTCAAACACTGAAAATGAGATCAAATACTCATCAAAGATCTTCGGATATATGTATACAAGATGAAAATGAGAAGGAGTGTCACAGCAAACCCTTCACCCAAATCAACAGATGTACGAACAAACGATGACAGAACAACACTAAAACACATACTCACACAACATAAACAACAATAATGTGGATTGGAGAAGGAGAGAGAAAGGAGAAAAAAAATATACACAAACAACACACAAAGCATTGTGATCTCGTGAACAAACATTAAAACTCATCGTGAAGCCAAAGATAGTGTCACATACCTTTTCATTTAGCAGTCGCAATAGTTCTTATGTCAAGCTTGTGCACATCTTTTCATCGTTTCGTTGTGCTCAATGAATTCAAAACATTCAAAGCCAAACAAATCTTATCGCAACCGCTATCACCGTCATCACCACACCACCAGCAAAAACAACGAAAACAACAACAGCAGCAACAGCAATATCAACTGCAACCGCACAAAAATACCTATAAACAGATATACTTTGCTTTCTCTCCGCTTGTCTCACTCTCACCCGCTCGCCCATGCTCTATTTTGCTCTGTGTCGCATCCGATCAATCCGGTGCTTGTGTATTGAATGGAGTTCTTCTGGTTGAAATCATTCATATGTCAATGGGAATATGTGGGAAAACGGAATTCTAAACCATTTTATAAAGTGGCGCTAACGCTAAGAGCACCGATGCGAAAAAGCGCACGTTAAAAATATATATATAGATATACTTCGCTTTCTCTGCCTTACACGGACATTGCAGCATGAAAGTGCTAATGGTGTATCAACTGGCTGTATTGGAAGTTAAGAGGAAAAATTCCGCTTGAACAAATTGTGTGAATAGATTGACACCATAAATATCCACCTCATTTTCGCATTCGTTGCATTTATTTAAGGGATTTAGCAGAAAAACAATGTAGATTGGTTGGTGACTAGATGAACAAAACGAAAAATCTCACGTGAAAAGCATGTCCAACGACAATGCCAATAGCTGACATGATTAGGAGGATTGCATCCAAGCAAAATTCCCTGTTTGCAATATCATTATAACAAAGAATATAATACGAACGAACACAAAAGAGCCAAAGCAGCTCACAAATAATACAAAATTGGTTCAATACATTCTCGCACTCGCGCCACTCGCTCCGGTTGGTTGTTCCAAAAGGTTTCGGCGTGTCCATGACGAGAATGAGTGTGCGATTGAGAGTGTGCGTTATTCATCTAAAAACATAAAAAAAACTCCAGTAAATTAAGTAGTTTACAGATAGGAAAAAAAAACAACAGTGGAGATATAAAGATATAAGACCGAATTCCATTGATGTTCAATAGTCGAAGTCAATGGTGAAAGAAGGGGTGCATGGTTTTCTTTCAATTTCACATCAGACACCCACTGTGCGTGTGTTAAAATCAGTGGCACAGCCTCGTGTATTTTGTCGATGTGTGTATAAAATAAATTCGATTAACATTAATCCCATTATCATAGTCGTATAAGCCGCTGATGGAATGGACCGCCGTATGTGCGTATGGCCCACTCTATGTTATCAATAATAAGTGATATCGCACATCGTTCACTCATAATGGAGTATCGGGCAATTTTATCTCGTTTCACTCGGATTGTCCGTTGTCGTTGAAAGCGAACCAATGCCATTGATGTACGCTACACTCGACTCGATTGTTTTTTGACGAAAATCAACTATGAAACTGCATACTTTACCACCAGCATTAGTAGAGTGACAATGTAAATTTTGGATCAACATTGGTGAGAACCGTTCGTATTTTCTTGCTTTCAAATTGCTTGTAACGATGGTGTTTGTTCAATTAGAACTCGCTTTTTTCTTGTGCATGATGATGGATCTTGTTCGTTTTCATAATGTGTAAGAATGTCACTTAATGAAAACACCGATAATTTTAAGAGAAACGAATGAAAATTCATGTTATTTCTTCCAATAAATGTGAATGAATGGTGTGAATGGGATGATGTGAGGCAGGGGTATTGCCGGCAAAATTCAATGTAAAATTCATTCATTTTTTTATTCTTCTCCTACTTCATCGTTCCAATGCGTTCATCCGGCAGCAGCATCTTTTCTCGCCACACGATTGTTTCCACGAATCCAACGAAAATTGTAGGAGAAAGCATTCGAAAGAGATTCACTTTCACATTCGGTTCATTCTGTATCTGCTGCACGCTAACAACACACATTCAGTGAAACATGGATGGAAAACATTGTTTCCTTATTTCATACCTTTTCGGGATGGCAGTGTGCGTGCGCAGTGCACATGTTGTAAAATGAACACAACGAGAGCCAGAGCCAGATGATATGGTAAAGTGCAATTTTTACGCTACAAACGTACGAACTGGAGATGAAACAATCCAGACCGAGAACGATTCATAAAGATTATTCGTGGTATTCTTTTTTGTGAGATTGTTGTTGCTGTTATGCCATTATTAAAAGCGTTGCTACGCCGCTTGCAAACACACTTTCCCATGGATGGTAGTAATTCAAACCAAAATATACAAACACCGAGAAGCGGCTACAGCAGCAGCATTCAACTCCGTTTCGTTGATACCGCACCGAACACGGTTGATGCACACACAACAGTTCAGTTATTGAACAACTCGTGACGAAAACGGACGCGTTCTTTCGCTCTGACTTTTTTGGCTCGACACTCTGATACGTTGTGTGTTGTCCACGCGAATATCGTTTAAAAAAATTTGTTTGAATTTTTCGAACGGTAAAAACCGAATGGCTTGATATTGCATTTCAATGTTGGTCGTGTTTTTCAAAGGATTTCCCATCAATCAAATTCGGTTTTAGTGAATGGCTCCTTTTTCATTAGTGCACTCGGGGAAAATGTAACGAATAAAAAAAACACAACGTTCGATTAAAAAAAAAAAAGTAAAAATAACGGGAAAATTGTCAATATCTCGGGACGATGTTACTGCGCTCATTTCTAATCACATCGAAGAGCTACAATAAATTTTAAATAATCTATATTTGATCGAACTATATTTGATCGCAAACCGATTCGACGGGATTTAAAAAGGAAAACGCACACCACGATAAACTAAATATAGAACGGTTTAATTCAGTTCGATGCGAATTTAAATGCAGTGAGTTTTAAGTGAACCCCATCTGCGGTAGAGAGGATCACCAAAATGAGATAAATTTTCAAAATTCCATCTCTTCGCGTATATCGAATAGAAAGGGAGTTCAGATTTTATGTGTAACCAGTGAGAAATAGCAATTCTTGGCAATTCAACGCATTCGATACTGCAGCGGAATTGGAAAAAGACAACCAAAACGTAATTTATGAATATTTTGTCTGTAACGAAATGAACGAAAACGAGGAACGAAATGGGATATAGACGAAATAAATCCCACTACACATTGTTTTTTGTTGGCCATGGCTAAAATATTGCATTTGTTATGTTGTAATTGAACGGTGCGTTAGATTAGTGCAGAATATATACATATATATATATATATGATCTAAAACGAATAACTCTTTGTCTCTCACTCACTTTGTATGTGTTGTCTGTTCATCAGAAAATCGGAATCGGGAATCTCTGACAACGGAAAATGCATTGTGTTTATTTTGTTGTTGTTGTTGTTATTTTTGTTGGTCTTCCTCTGATTGATGTGTGTACGTAAACTATTCTATGTGTAATGCATGCATGTATTAATGTTCATTGTAGCTTTATATATGTGTGTATGTGCATATACAATAATTTTGCGATTGTGAAAACGTGCAACTTGGAATGTGTAACGATAAACGATTAAAGTATTAAAATGGTTTACACTGATTCGGTGTGTGTCTGGTGCTGGTGGTGCTGCTGCTGCTGTTGATTCCCCGCACCTCGATCATGTCCTCTTCGCTGTTTTTGTTTCAGTTTGCATCGTGTGTCATTCAATTCATAGCTTGAATGCATTGTATTTGTATTTTTCGCAAGCGCTCAGCCATGGAAAATACGTTCGATGGCATAGCATTAAATACAATTTTGATTGATATCGTGAAATGCATTCTCTTTAATAGAATCCAAAAAAATAAAGGCAACCGAGAGAGAGAGAGAGAGAGAGAGAGAAAGTGAGAGCAAAACAGTAGTAGCAGAGTATTTTGCATGCATATACCGACATAGGCGCGCACACACATCAACGACAGACGGATGCGATGCAATCCCGAAATACCGAATTACATTTCGAGCAATCGGTGGTGGTGGTGGTGCACGTTATCGTAAAACTGATTTATTGATTTATATCCCTTTTTGAAAAACAATTCATAACACAAACGAAACGAAAATAAAATAGATCCAAATGCCAATAAATATTATTATTGCCGCTATCTATCAATATATGCGATTGAATTATATTTTTGAATGGCCCCAACGATAAATAGATTTGGCTGCTGAATGTGGTTGTATCTTCGTTTAAAAAGTTCGATGTTCGTGCATTTATGGCCCATCAAGTTATGGGCTGAGATAATCGACCGTTCGGTTTTAACGGTTTATTTATTATTCGCTTTTTCATTATTTTATCATCAGCCGCGGAACCGATGGAGAGGGAGCGAGAGAGAGAGAGAGAGAGAGAGAGCGAGGGAGCGAGATAGAGTGGATACTCATACACAAAAAAAGAGTAGCCGCGCACCCATCAGCCAGTCATATTGTCTAGTGTCATAAGCTCTATGGCCAATTATTGGATCAATTTGTGTAAATTTGGCTTTCAATTAAATTTTATGCATTTGATGAAATGGAGAGTAGTTTGAATAAAGTCAATATTAATCACATGCCAATACAAAGAGTGTACTGTACACTGACACAAACACACACACACACACACAAAGAAAAAAAGAAAATTGCATGGAAAATTAGCTGCTCATTGAATCACATTCATGTAGCCTCAGCAGCGCATCGACATTTCGACATGACTCTTTTTTTATCTCTTCTGACTCCATCTCCTTCTTCTTTTCTCTGTCTTTCGTTTTTTCTATTGCTTACATTTTCTGCTTGATTTCGTGGACATTTTAACTCAATTTTCATTGACAAAAGAAGCGTTTCACTTCACTTTTTTTGTCTTTCTTCTTCGACGATATCTTTTCATTACGTCAAGCTATGGCATGGTTGATGTTGCGCGCGGCAATTGAAAAGTGTTCAGATTGGAAAATCTAATTACAGCTCATTAATAATCGTATAAGTGAATTGATTTTTTATGCTTACGAAAAAATCGGTGAAATTAACATTCTTTGCGATGTCTCATTACATTAATAGGATGACTTTGAACAGTTGTCTGAATCGATGCATATCTACGTTTTTTTTTTCATGTCTCCAGTAACATGGGGTTTTGAGCGGAACCGAAAAAAAAGGTTTTTAATAATGTATAAGAAATGTCTTTTGTTTTCACTGCGACCATTGTTCGCAGGAGAAAAAAAAAATGGTATTTGGGCTATCGAAAAACCGTTTTTTCCTTTATTCAAATGAAAAAAAAGCCACTTGAATTTTCACCGATCGACTGACATTTTACCATTTTAATACCTCGGGTCAGTTAATGGACAAAATAAATCGACGGAAATAAATGCAAAATCATGATAAAATTGCATTCACAAATCGCACATAAATATTTGCACACAAAAGCCCCAATAATAGTATATAGGAACAAGCAAGATTAGCGATCAAAAATGTTAAAAGCTTATTTTGCATTAATGGAAACAGGGACACAGAGAGGGAGAGAGATAGAGCGCGAGAGTAAGAGCAAGAGCAAGGGTGATAGAATGGAAGCGAGACTGTTCTATTTTCATGCGATAAAATGACGATATAAATAATTTTTGTGGAACATTTTTTTTTGGATAACAACTATTTTGAGAATGCGCATGAGTTTCGCCAGCTTTATTCGTGCTTTGTTTGTTGTTTAGTCAATTATCTCATATGAATAAATCATTTGGATGTGGAAACGGCAGTCAGATGTTAAAAAAACCAAATGAATGTTTACATTTTTATATTTTCAGTGCTTCAATATTTGTTCTTGTGTTAATCATGATCATACGATGAAAAAAAAAACATATAACGATGAATATTGCACAAAGGATGTAATGGATTTCTTTTTGCTACTCTGCTTTTCAATCTGATCGATCCAAAAATCCTGGACAACTACAAAACTTTATGTCAACGTTAAAATTTAAACATTCGACACACTAATTGCTAGAAATTAAATCGGATAATTTCGATTACACAATCAACATTTCAAGATGTGCAGTGATAATTAAGGTTTGCCGTCCAGCTCTCAACGTTGCAATATGGACACACAAAAAGTGGAAATAATTCATATTCCGATCAATAAAAATGAAGTGAATATTGTTTAACATGAAATGTTAAATAGTGCAGTGTATCCGGCTGCATTCATTCATTCTAATACGATTAAAACTAATTGAATAACATTGTTCCATTCAATTATATGAGCCAATTCAATAGTGTGCACAAACAAGACCAAGTATGAATAACAAATATTGCAAATTGGAATTTGAAATGTATGCACGCATCCTGCATAGACATACGCTCATAGCGCACATAGCTCAACGTTGATGAGCATTAAACACATAACAAACATACATACACATACATGCGCGCGCGCGCGCTCACTTGCACACATTTTGCATTCGGTGCACATTTTGATGTCGATGCTGTTTCTTATATTACTTTTCTAGCCGGTAGCTAGCAAAGCGTCAAAATTGTGAAAACAATTTCAAAGTAGCCAAGAGAATGTACGTCGTTGAAAAAGACAGCGTATACCGTACACAGTGTGGGTTGGCCTAGGCAAAAGCTTTTGAATTCTGTTGACCAACTGCATTCAATTGAATTGGACCGGACCGAACCGAACTAAACATAAAATGCTCACTTGTTCCATAAGCAATTATATCGCCGTTGTGTGAATGTGTTCGTGCCGAACACCAATGACGGCATGATCGAGAAAGTGGCTAGCGAACAAAAGCTTTTCATTGGTGTTGTTATCCAAAGAAATAAACTTTAAACAAATAAAACCAAATGTTAACACAGTATCAACAAATTAGACTTTTTGATGCGAAATTCGATGAAATGTTACGTTGTGCGGCGTCGAGAGTTGCCGCTCCTGCTGCTGATAGAAATGGATAAAAAGTGATGAATTCGGTTTTGGTGGCACATAACTTTTTGGCAACACCATTTGAGCAGCAGCAACCATGATGGGAAAACAAAAACAATAAAACACGAAACCCAAAACGAGGCAAAGTAAACGAATGAACGAACGGGTGCATTGAATGCATGGCTATGGAATATGGATTTCAAGTGCATTCCGTAATTCTTCTTTCGGTTCTCCTTCGTCTTAATTATATTTGGCTTTTCCTTTAATTCGATTCAACGGCAAAATGTGAATTTAAATTCATTCAAAAAATGTTCCGGTATTAACGGATCAAACAGACATACGTACAACCACTGCTGGTGGTGGTGGTGTTGCCGTCGCCACCACCAGCACCACCACCACTAACAAAATACGTGCATATATGCATATATTCCAGCCAAGTTTTGCATGTGCAACTTGATAAACTGCTAAAAATTCTGTGTTTACGTTTGTGTTTGTTTGTTTATTTTGTGAAGTTGAATTGGCAATGCAACGCTGCATAACGAATGAAACGATAAGTTTGTACATAAAAATGCACGCGAATATCATAGGCAACCATATACACACATACATACAAACACACAAACAGTGGCAAGTCACGTTCAATACGCCAGATTCAGTGTTTACTATAGTATATTATCACTGCTGCTGATGCCGTCATACTCGCTGTATTTTTGCGTCAGCGGCTACCTTCTCAATTCAATTCGCTTGATAATTTCGACTTAATCGTCACAAACATTAAACAATTTAAAAAGTGGATGAATTCAAATGGACTTGAATCGTTGGTCAGACGTCAAGCCTCAGCTCGGTGACAACAACAACAACAACAATAAAAAACAGTCAAATAATGTCGATCATTTCGTAACTGTTTCTCAATAATGGCAATGCAAACACGTTTGAATGGGACCGAAACTTTATCATGGCAGGCCATTTGGCATGCACAATCAATGCCAGCCACCGAATGAGAGAGAGAAAGGAAAAAATCGCACACACAATGAAATAAATGCAAAAAGCTCTAATAAAATCAATCCGTTTATCAAATACGTACATTCACTCACGAGCCAAATGAAAATGGAATGGAATGGAATCGAAACGAATCGCATTGTTAGTACACGACGTTTGCGTCTAGTGGTGCTATTGCTGTTGATCGCCTCACTTCTCT